TAACAAAGTTGCAATATGAACTCTGGTAAAGACATGCAATGATAACAGCAAAAATTGCAATATGAGCACTGGTAAAAATGATGCTGAAAACATTAGGTTTTATAATACTTTTGCATTCATACCCAGATGTCCTCAAGGACACATGGCACAGTGGATAAAGGCGTTGGTTAGATCCAGTGACAGACCCAAAGAAGGTGAGTTCAATTCCTGGTTAAGGCAGTGGAGAACTTTCAGAGGGGGAAAATTAGCAGGAGATAACTGATAACTGACATCCATCAAACATGGCACGTGGAATTAGAACAGTCTACCCCAGCGATCGAAATAAAGGGTTCAGTTCGAAATTCCAACCACCTGAAGAAGGCCGGAGCGTACAAAACCGAAACGTTGTGACAAATATGGCGACAAAGATGAGGGACAATAGTCCGACTAATGTAAATACTGTATCATCTCATAAATATATATTTATTTGAGGTTTGTTCTATTTTTTTTATTCTTCAGGCAAAACATATTCCAATTTAATTTATCCATTTTTTTTGAATGATTTTATTTCTATATTTTTTATAGAGAATTTTATTTATTTTTTTAATTTGAGGCTCTCAGAATCTCTCTGATCAATAATCAATTACCCTTCCATATCTCTTCATCACAACCGATCAGATGGCTTTGGCTCAACGCAGTGCATTTATTCATCTACCGGTGAAATTCTAGATGGTGAAAAAAATTCGGATCGGAAAAAAAATCCGTCTTGACTCAAATTATTCAATACAGATGCAGATGTTGAGGGGTCGATGAGTTTTTTTTGCATCCTCTCTCCTGTCGTCATAGTGAAATTATTTTTTCCAAGGCATGTAGGAATAAACGACATCATCAGAAGATTTTGATTAAATTCTGGGAAAAACTTTAACATTCCCAAAAATCGAACCCGTAGGTCTTGAACAAATATTTTCATTTCGAAAAGTTGGAAAATTACCATTTTCCCTTTTTTTAATTCATAACTTTGATTTGGGATGCGACCTGTGCGGATATATTTTCGGCCGGTAATTTGATCAGTTCCGCGGTTGAGCCAGCATTTCCGTCGCCCGGGACGCAGACATTTTTTTGAATAGTTAAATATTCTTCTCTTGCTTTTTTTTTTCCTTGACAGTGGAGACTTCAAAGGTTAATGGCCCTCGTTCGATGGCATTCCTTCGGAGGATTGGCGCGATTGAAATCGATTAATCAAAACGATTCCATTTAACGGTTGGCTCTTGCATGTCTCACTGGCGATGGTTCGAGGTAATGATTTCTCCATCATTTCAGCTGGCAGAAGATAAAACCAAAACAAATACATGTTTATAGTTATTTTGTTCAAACTTTTTTTATTCCTTGAATTATTGATGAAATATTTGTATTCAGACTTCAATAAATTTTGAAATTCTAAAATTTTTTATTTATTATAAATTTCCCTTGTTCTTAAGAATCAACAACAAATAAACACTAATTGTTTATTGATCAAAAAACATCAAATGCTAATTTAAATCGATTCAAACTTTATAAAAGAGTAAGTAATAAGGATTTCCTTAAACAGTGATCCCTCGCTAATTCGCGGTTCTACTATCGCGGATTCACGACTTCTCAATTTTTTTAATGTATATATAATTACTAAAATATATATCGGTTGAGTTTCTGGAGAAAATTCTTGAAAATTTATATATGAATGAACATAAACTGTAAATTTTCATGAAACCCATTAAAATATTAATAATAAATATTATTTCCTGGTTTAGGAACAACAAAACAAGCGTAAAATAGCAAAAAAAGGCCCGGTCTGAAGAGATATAAAAAATACAATTATCGGCTGCACAAATAGAAGTCATCGTCAGCTTCATCATCATCATTTATACATGCAACAAATTCATCATCATCATCATTCAAATTCTACTTCAACTTTTTTTCGTGTTGAATAAATAACAATCTTTATTTTTTTAATCTAAATGTTGTTAAAAGAACAGTTGTCCTTGTTATAAATAGAGTGCTGTAAAATATTTTGTTAACAGTAAAATTTTCAAATCTTTTTAAAGTCCAAATATACGTTAAATAAATATTGTAAATATGGCGTCCCTAATTCGTGAAAATTTTATCTACTAAATTTTCATTTTCTCACTTTGCCAATCTACCGCGATAAACGAAATCATTAAAATTTTATTTTTGAATTCACATATTTTATTCTCTCTATCTATAAAAGGCAGGATGTGTGTGTGTGTGTGTGTGTATATATAAATATGCACGGCTGCAATTTTCGACGTATTTACACCAAAATTTACATGCACATGCTCCAAAAAATAGCGGAAAGGCCAAGACCGATATTGCATTTCCCAACTCCCATCGATAGTGGAAATAATCGATTTTTTTCATGCTTCTACGGCAGTTTTCATGTAGTTTGCGGCCATTTTGTACTGGCCAGAGTGAGAGCCTATAGCTGGCTGCCATGAATAGGCAAGGAAGATTCTATTGGCCAACGCGAGAGCCAACAACTGACTGACACGAATGTTAACTAGCATGCTAGCATGCAAAAAATCGATAGTTGCATTCGTCACGAATGGGAAAAATTTAAATCTGCATGGCACTTTACTCCAATTGGCTCATTCGCTTGCTTAAACTCAACGTTGATTCTGATTTCGCAGAACTGGGTTCGGTGTGAAAAAATATTTGTTGTTAACATTCTTTTTTCATTCGGTTTTTCCAGTTACGAGTCCTTTTTTTAAAGCTGATCATTTTGTGTTCATTTTGTTTAGTTCTTTTTTCGTAACAGATTTAATGTTTAGTATAGAGCTTAGAAAAAATTCGCATTGTGAGATAGACAAGAAGTAAGGCATGTAGCAACATCAGCACAGAAAAGGGCACTCCTTTAAAGGCAAGGAAGGGCAAAAATATTTTAAGTCAAGTGGTAGTGATTGCTGTATGAGTCGTACGATTTTTTGAATTTTTCACGGGCAACGCCTTATGCTGCTAGTAATTTAATAAATCTTTATAAATCTATGAATTTTCAGCATTTTTTTCCTTTGTATTTCTTCACAAAAAAAAATGATAAATGTTGTATTGCATTTATTTTAAATTGTATTCGATTTTAGAATGTTGTAAACATAAAAAAAAATTCTTGTAATAAATGTAATAAATAATGTAAATTATTATATTGTAAAATCACAAGAAAAAATGTATAAATCCACGTTCTTTTCGGTTTTATTCCAATTCTAATCATCGCTTTTTAAAAAATAAATTCTGCTGAATTGGGAAGATAGTTAAAATAAAAATGGTGCTATGGGGAAAATCTCCCTTTTGAGAGTCCGCTTTTTTGCAGGAATTACGATGCCAATGATTTCTACAAGAGTAAATCCATTGTTAATGATTTTAATATACCAATTACATTACCAGAGATTTTTACTGAAGCATTCACATTGTCAATAATTTATACCATTAGAAATCCATTATTAATTGCAATGATAATATATTTTACTTTAGAGATTACAAAATTTTTCAATCTAAAATATATATCCTAGCTTTAAATAACATGTAAATGGAAGATAAGTCCTAAAAACAAATTAATCAATCAATATACGAATCATATTACCAATGGTTTTTACTAAAGATATTATATTGCCAATGATTTTATTATAGAAATTACATTGCTAATCATACTATAATATAATATTGCCAACAATATTTACTATAGTTATTATATTGCCAATGATATTTACAATAGAAATTACATTGCCAATGATATTTACTATAGAATTACATTACAAATGATATTTACTATAGTAATTACATTGCCAATGTTATTTACAATAGAAATTACATTGTCAATGCTATTTACTATAGAATTACATTACAAATGATATTTACTATAGTAATTACATTGCCAATGTTATTTACAATAGAAATTACATTGTCAATGCTATTTACTATAAAATTATATTGTCAATAATATTTACTATAGAAATTACATTGTCAATGATATTTACTGCAGAAATTATATTGCCAATAATATCCACTATAGAATTATATTGCCTATGCTATTTACAATAGAAATTACATTGTCAATGATATTTACTATAGAAATTACATTGTCAATAATATTCACTACAGGAATTATATTACAATGGAAATTACATTGCCATTGTTAATTACAATGGAAATTACATTGCCAATGTTAATTACAATGGAAATTACATTGTCAATGATATTTATTACACAAATTACTTTGCTAATGTATTTACTATAGATATTACATTGCCAATGATATTTATTAAAAGATTATATCGCCAATCATATTTACTATAGAATTCCATTGGCAATGTTATTTACTACAGTATTAAATTGCCAATGTTATTTACTATAGAATTAATATTGCCAATGTTATTTACTATAGAATAACATTGCCAATGATATTTGCTATAGAAATTACATTGCCAATGATATTTGCTATAGAAATTAAATAGCCATATTTGGTATGTTAATTTCATTGCATTTAATTTAGAAATTATTTTACCAATGATTTTACTGTAGGTATATATTTTTGAAAAATTTTAATATAGGAACGCTAAGTACTTTTATTATCAGAAAAATGTATTTGTACTTCCGGTGCCGTGAAATTCGAGGTGAATAGAGAAACGAAATTTGACATTTTCCTTCTTGATGAATGTTGATTTCTTGCTTCAGTTTACGTCCGGGCGATCCCAATCAGTTTGCATTATTCGCTTCAGCGACAAAATGCCGAAGGACTTTGAAATAAAGGAACGCGCGTTGTTGTTGGTGTTGTTTGTTTGTTGTTGTTGTTGTCGGATGCATTCGTGCCAAAAGTGCAGCTCACAAGACCAGAGCTAGCCTCCTTGACTTGTACCTATCGAACTTTTACGCCAGCCAATCGCCGGCCCCTTCCTTCTACCTGCATCACTGACCCTCGCCTCCTCCAAACCCCTTACTCATCCATCATCATTTTCACACAATCGCCTCAATCAATCATGTCAATCAGTAGCAATAAATTTCTTCGCTTGCTTTTGATTCGTTTATATCTGCTGAAAGAAGACGCCATTTTTACGGTCGCTTGCATCCATTCGGTAGTCCGTGTGGCGATGAAAGTCAGCATTTAAAACATACGTGATTTAAACGAGTAAATATTCACACACTTGCTATATCCATTGTTAGTTATGACGGAAGTAAACGGAAATGCAACGCGCCAACTTAGTGTAGAAGTTATATTCACATATAGCAATCCATTCTTGTTATACACCAAGGCATACGTAAATCTGTCTGTCTGTATGTCTGTCTCTATCTCTCGCATTTTCAATATATATATATATATATATATTTATTAAAGAAATTTTTATTTATGTTTAACGTTGTTATTTTATAGATACAAGTATTTAAGCAAATGCTCTGTTTAAGATAAACAGTATTAAATAACATTTAAATAAGAATGTCAAGAAATTTTCATAGAAAATATTCGTTCAAGACAATATTCGAACCTGCATCATACTGTCATACGTCATTTGTTTACCATATACATTTCTAACATAAACTCTTTGTTTACCAGAACTGCAGTTATAAATGTACTGATTCATGGAAGATTTATAAAGTTTATAACAGTAAATTTACCTTGTTATACCATAAGGTTAATGGTGGCTGAGTGGTTAAGGCATGTCAGGTATATGACAGTTCCGTATAGGATGCAGGTTCGAATCCTGTTCTATGAACGAATATTTTTTATGAAAAAATTTCTCGACATTCAGGCCGGTAAATGTTATTTAATACTGTTTATCTTAAACAGAGCATTTGCTTAAATACTTGTATCTATAAAATAACAACGTTAAACATAAATAAAAATGTCTTTAATAAATAAATTGTCGGACCTTGTCCATTTCTTAACATATATATATATATATATAGAGAGAGAGAGTGAGATAAAGAGAAAGCGTTTAAAACATACGTGTTTTGAACAAGTAAATATTCACACACTTCCTATATCATATATATATATATATATATATATATATATATATAGAGAGAGAGAGAGGAGTCTATTAAATAAAGTTTAAGTTATATTCACATACTAGCAATCTATTCCTGTTGCCCCCAAAAATACGTAAATCTGTCTGTCTACTTCTCTCTCTCAGTCTCTCTCTGAATCTTTCCCTCTCTCTCTCTGTATATATATATATATATATATATATATGTCGGATGTAACTGCAAAATTGTCCAAATTGTGTAACAGCATAATTGTCCATCCCACAAAATATTTAATATCTAAAAACGACTAAACTAATTTATTCCTGGTATTTGAATGTCCTTGATGCTTCGTCATAAAAAAAATCTCACACAAAATTAAATTAAGGCAAACATGTGTCAACAATTTTTAAATCAAAACAGACATACAAAAGAATGAAAAATGCATTCCTTTTTGTCCATCCAAAGGTATAAATCATCTTTTATTGGAAACTCTACGGTGCTTTTGAAAAAGTTGATGTCTTTTGTTGCTCCAGCAGAAATCAGCCATTATGTTAACATCCCATCTGCAAAGTGCCTATTTGCCTATCTGGTGATTTGAGGCTATTTTAAGTGTTAATAAAGAAAATTCTAATCTTGCTAGTCTCAAATACACTCGCCTAACACCCTAACAACCCTCATTTATCGATGTCCCTATGCATGTTATACAGAGACTGCATGACAATAGCAGACCCCCGTAAATTCAAGTGATATGATAAAATCTTATGACGGTTCAGGCTTAAAGTGAAAACTACTAATAAAAACTAAAATCGTTGTTCTTGAATGACTTCTCCTATGAAAAGTACAGTAGAAACACAAATCACAAATTTTTAACTAAGCTAAGAACATTGAGGGCACAAGAACATTTCCCATTGAGATATCTTTCCTAAAATCAAGCATTTTCAGGTCAGCTTATCTGAAATAGCTAAGAATTCATTATTTACATTATTCAGACTATCGTCATCATCTTTGTCGCCATATTTATCACAACGTTTCGGCCGTTGCGCGCTCCGGCCTTCTTCAGGCGGTTGGAATCCTCAGGGACACATGGCAAAGTGGATAAAGGCGTTGGTTAGATCCAGTGACAGGACTCAAAGAGTGTGAGTTCAATACCTGGTTAAGGCAGTGGAGAACTTTCAGAGGGAAAATTAGCAGGAGATAACTGATAACTGACATCCATCAAACATGGCACGTGGAACTAGAACAGTCTATCCCAGTGATCGAAATAAAGGGTTCAGTTCGAAATTTCAACCACCTGAAGAAGGCCGGAGCGTACAACGGCCGAAACGTTGTGATAAATATGGTGACAATGTGAGGACAATAGTCCGAATAATGTAAATAATGTACGTATTACCTCATCTCAGAAATATAGACAGACAGTTAAGAATTCATTTTGAAAGTTATTTGGATACTTTTTCATGGATGATAAATCATTTTAACATGAAACGAAATGTTTCAAATATGTCACTCGCATATTTAAGCATATTCCTGTCAAATATGCATTGTGGTCTATTTTAAACAAAATAGAAATTATCTGTACTGAGGAAACCTGATATGATGGAGCAAAATGGACTTGATTTTCAGATTCAGCGTGAAAAAAAATAGACCAGAAACATGCGCCCATTGCCCAACAACATTTTAGTCGAAAAAATATGTCGACCGGTATTATATTTCTGTGGAGATGTTGAACGTAAATTGTCTTCCGGTTTCTGAGCGTTTCCGGTTACCATAAACTAATACGATACACCTTTTGCGTTAGGTAGATAGGAACGCATTGTGTTTCTACGCTATTTAAATACATCTCTATAGACACAACCCACTAAAGGAAAATATAACGAAAGATTTTTGTAAGATAAAATTTTGATTTTTTTTTTCAGTTGCGCAACTAAAAAAAGCCATGGCTGATTCAATGCAAAACTGGTGGCAGACGATTTGCAAGAAACAGATGAAGACGAAGAGGCCATATTGGCTTCCATTGTCAAAAAAGTAGAAAGAAAATACGTTTGGACGCCTTTCAAGGGACACACGTGAAATTTGTGGAGACAACAAAACCATTTCTAGCGCACAGGAAACAGATCAATTCCTGGGAATCTTCAGGCTTGGATTTTTAATAGAAGAAGCTGTAAGAATTCAAGGGTGACTCACAGCAATGGATGAACTGAACACAAAATAATTGCGGCTTCTTATTTTCCCTGTAAGATGGGAATCTATCTATCTATCTATCTATCTATCTATCTATCTATCTATCTATCTATCTATCTATCATCTCTAATCTTTCATATCTGTCTTTCAATATCCATTTTCATTTGATGTATCTATCTATCTATCTATCTATCTATCTATCTATCTATCTATCTATCTATCTATCTCATTCTGTTCATATCTGTCTTTCAATATCCATTTTCATTTGATCTATCTATCTATCTATCTATCTATCTATCTATCTATCTATCTATCTATCTATCTATCTAGTCATCTATCTCGCCTAGACTTAAAGTTTCTTTTCTTTTTTTTTCTTTCTTTTCTTTCTAGCCCAGTTTTTTCTTTCTTTTCTTTTGTTTCTTTTATCTTCACATCTATCTATTTTAATTCTCTCTATATCTATCTATCTTACTCTCTCTATCTCTCGATGTATGTATGTTTTTATTTTAATTCTCTGTCTTTTTCTCTCTGCGTCTGATTATCTATCTATCTATCTATCTATCTATCTATCTATCTATCTATCTATCTATCTCATTCTGTTCATATCTATATATTTATCTAAATTATATCACTCTCTTTTTCTATCTCTGTCTGTCTGTCCCTCTTTTCTCTGCATCTATCCATCTGTTTCTTTCGCATCTATCTATCTATCTATCTATCTATCTATCTATCTATCTATCTATCTGAGTCTGTTTATACCTATCTATTTTATTCTGTTCATATGGATCTATATATCTATCTTAATTATGCCACTCGCATTCTCTTTCTATATCTCTCTATCTGTTTCTTTCTCTTCACATCTATCTATCTGTCTATCTATCTATCTGTCTATCTATCTATCTGTCTATCTAACACAAAAGTCAACAACCTCAACCAAGCGTCCCAAGAATTATAATTCACGACAAATCCTTCCAAATGCACAAGCTATAATATATATATATATATATATAACCTAAAAGAAATCATAGGTAGTAACCACATTTCAGGGGACAATGTAATCCGTAAGGAACTGAGAACAAAAACAACAGGATTTTCCCAACCATGTAACAACAAAAGAAGTTTATGTTGCAACCATATTAAAAACACGAATTCATTCACTAGCTCAATCACTAAATCTACTTTCAAAATCTACCACGATTCTAACTGTAGAAGTCAAAACATAATTTACCTCCTAGAATGCACACTATGCCAGAAAAATATGTAGGAAAATCTGAATGGCCCTTTTTCACTACAGAATTAATAATTATCGTAATCGAATTAAATCGACTCCCCATGAAAAGTTATTACCTGTAGAACAACATTTCCGCCTAGAAAAACACGATTTCAAAACCCATGCCAAATTCACTATAATTGAGAGAATAGAAAAGTTCAGAGCAGATAACATTAGAAAAGATTTTAGAGTCCCATGAAAATAAATGGATACAACGTCTAAAAACACAATATCCAGCCGGGCTTTCTCATAAATTTAACAATATATAATAGTACTAATATATAAAAACAAATCAAAACCTACCCACATTTCTCACCCACACAAGACAGACATGCTTACGGAGGAATGGAGGCCTCACACTATACACACACCCACACGAATATACACACTTACACACACACATACTCACTCACTCCCTAATGAGCCAAATGATAACACACACCTACAACAATACACACGCTTACACATATCATACTCACTCACCCCTAAGAACCAAATAACACACACAAAAACACTAAACAGAGACACATCCCCTCACCAGGTCCAATAAAACTGTCAAACTGACCAGAGAATTCAGAGCAAAATGTATCTATCCAACTCTTATCTCAAATAACAACTTAAAAGAGACTGTTTGACCAACACAAGGAATGTTAAAAGATTCATGTTAAAAAGAAAAAAAAAAAAAAAACAAATGAAAACTACAGACAAAAGTTCATTTTCTCCATCAAAAGACATTCATTTCTGTAGTTCACTGCTACCAGCAAGCAGAAATATTTCTTCTCCCGATGATGGCCATTTTTATCGAAACTAGTCGAGGAATCTAAATGGAATAATAATAAAAAAAAAACGAAAGAATATTAATCTACAACCCAGTGTGTCTAAAGATTTTAATTTTTTAATTTTTTTTTTTTTATTGTATATATATATATATATATATATATATATATATATATATATATATATATTATTGTAATAAAATCCACCTAATTTACATAGTGGAGTAAACCATATAAATATGGGTTGGTACCGGGAAGACGAGGGAAATAAGAGATCCAATCCAGAGACTCTGCCCGACTGCGATTAAAGTCAACCCATTCTACAGGAACAGTCTTCCCAAGAATATACCAAAACTAACTGTAAATATTGTGTACCTTTTCCTTGTTTCAATACATTTTGTTTACGTACATATTGTGTTGTATTATTATTATTCCATGCTTTATTCAAGTTTTTACATATATATACACACAAACACACAAAAACATATATATATATATATATATATATATATATATATATATATATATATATATACATATCTAATATACACACATTTTATATATACATTTATATATATATATATATATATATTATTATTTTTATATATATATACAAATGTATATATACACATTTATATTACACATATATATACACAAATATATATATATATATACACATATGTATGTAACACACACATTTTATATATATATATATATATATATATATATATATATATATATATATATTTATAAAGTATAAAATTAATAAATCAATGAGGGATATTCTCTGAATTTTAAATTAACACAAAAAAACTGAATGGATATGTTATGAAAATTTTATTGCACAGATAATTGTATTAGTGACAAGATGGATCGTTCAAGGAATGCTTTTGGCCAACAAAAAGCAAGATGCAAAAGAGAATATTGACTTGAGACATTGAATCATATCCTTAAATAGCACCGCTTAAAGTAGACTCTCATATGGATGCCATATATGTCATCCAACTCATTCAG